GGCAGAAAATCCTACTGGGCGGGCGGGGTGTTGGAGGCACTGAGGAGTGGTGAGGGGCGGCCCGAGGGGCTGGGAGAGGGTCCGACCCACGCTGCGCCTGGGCTGGGACTGGTCCCGCCGGCACAGGGTAGCAGGAAACTCTCCGCACACTCACCGGACCTGGGCTAGGACTGGGTCTGGGGGCTCCCGGAACTCGGCAGTCAAAATTTAATTTCTAAGTTTTCCTGCAGACATCTTTTTCTTTTCCCATTCTGCAATTTCCCGCTGATTTTCCTACTGTCCTTCCCAGTCTGTAACAGTGACAGTGTGCTGCCTGAAAACAGCATTCAAATGAATTTGCTCAGCCAAAAACATCTGTGAAGTTGCCTTTTCTAATGGTATGTTTACTCAGTGATGCACAAATGTGGTATTTCCTCTACTAGTAGGCAAAGGTCTGATTAAGAATGGTAACCTGAAGAAAGCAGTCAGGCTCAGGTTGCTGTGGTTTGAGCCCCATATCCTCAAGCCTTGCAGACCTGCCCTGAAGGCATCCTGAGCCAGCCAAAAAAATCCTTCTGAAGAATGGTAACCTGGTCCTACCAATCAGTTTTGAAACCGTCTCATTGCTATTTGTTTCTCAATAAAATTTTATTTTAAAGAATGGTAACCTGCAATTTTCTTTAAAGGAGAACCAAGGACTTGTGCTTTACTCTGGGTTTGTAGTCAAATAGTAGCCATTTTGATTCTGAAACTTTAGGATTGGTGAATTCCTTGTACTGTTTAGATTTATCTAAAGTTAACTGTCAAAGTTGGCCTTTTAAAATGAAAAAATATTATCATGGTGGATGAATATTTATTGAAAACTGGAGTGCATATCTGTTGTTCCTATCACTATATCTCTAGTGCTGGCTTCATCAACTTAAGTTAGTTTTCAGCTTTGAGAAGTGTAAGAAAACAAAAACCAAAATCTACATATTTTCTTTCAGGTAATAACTTGTTCTAAACAGGTGTTTAATCTATCCTGGAAAGAATACTTCCTTATATTACATATACTGTTTACAAATGTCTTAGGACAAGTTCTAATGATTGATTAATTGATGGATTGTACCCTGGCCAAAGAAATTTAAACAGGCTACAAAAATCAGAAAAAAAATGAAAAAATAGTTCATTTTCTTTTTAATGTATTTGGTATAGGGTCTCACTATACAGATTGAACTCATAGTGATGCTTCCGTTTTCAGCTTCCCCAGTGCTGGGATTACAGGCATGCACCACCACTCCTGGTCTGTGGTGGGCCGGTGTGGCATGTGGTGCTAGGGATTGCACCCCAGTCCCTGCACTTGCCTAAGCAGGTGTTTAGTCTGGTGAGCTATCTTGCCAGCCCATTTTCTAAACTACTATATATCATCTTTTATAATATAAGTAACTGCCCATACCTCCACTTCTTTTCTTTATCTGTCTGTCTGTCTATCTATCTATCTATCTTTTTTTGAGAGTATATTGTGATAGCATCCTGTATGTTTTTGTTTTTTTTTTTTACTTGTACCTAAAGGATGATATACTATGAGTAAGTCAAGTGAGGCACTATGAGAAATAGTTAACTGTAGTCAGATTATATAGAGAGTTCAAAGAAAATTAGATTCTTTTCACTAAAGAATATTCAGTTACTATTACTTACACACATTGGTGATAGATAAAAGTCTATCTTCCAGTTTCTTTTTGCTTGTTTTAAAGGCTGGAGTAAAGGTTTCCTATATTAAAAAAAGTGAGTGAGTGAGTGAGTGAGTGAGTGAACAAGTTTAGGAAGGGCCAGGCAGTTTGGGATTATCATTTCCTCTGAGTATCTGTCTCCACTTTTACAGGGCTCTTCAGATGGAATTTCTAAATCCCTGGAGCTTCGGCAAGGGCAGTCTCACTCCCAGGTAAATGGAAACAACAGCACATTGACCAAGGAAGAGAAGAGTGATCATCATCTTCCAGCTCCAACACAATGTGCCTTAACCAGAGCCAGCAATGTGTGTAATGATGATAACCACTGCCTCCCTATGAAGAATGAGGAGAATCGCTCACAAGAACAAAAATTAGAAATTGTGGCACAACAAAAAGAGGAATGACAAGCTGAAGATGACTTCTCAAGTCAGGAAGAAGGGAAAACTGTACTTCTCTGATTCTAGGCCCAAGTTAGAGTAGGATATAAGTGCTCGCCTAAATTTGTCCCCAATTTTGATGGGATATCTTAATATGTCCATCTTTCCCTTTCCTTATCTTTTCTTGGGCTCCAGAGTTAAGAATTGGGGAATTTCTGGTTAAAGATAAGTAACATGAAAACTAGTTCCAATTCTCAAATTGAATATGTAACACCCATATTTTATCTCATTTGGAAGTGAAGTAAGGTAGTAGCTGTCAGAAAATGGGTGTTATCATATAAGTCCTAGAAAATATTTCTACTGTTGGTTTTTTGAGTATCATGATACTTATTTGCAGACTTATCTGATACATCTATGGAGTTGAGGGGACAGCTTTCTGTAGCTTCCTCATTTTTTTCCTCTGAATTGATATGGTCTTTATGTATAATTAGTATCCATCTCCTCTTTACTTTTACTCCCAACTCAGCTGCCCTAGGATTTTGTACACCACCTCTAACTCTGGCCTGACATTCAGATAAGTAGATGTTTTTAGGGAACTGGATATTACTGATCATTTTATTGTTTATTTTATACACACACAAAATAACTACCAATGGCCTTTGTACTGGGAGATTCAAGTGAGTCGGAAAAGTACTGGGCAGATTTTTCCTGCCTCTTAACTAGCCCATTGTTTGTAAAATAGAAGAAATGGTGCAGTTCACCCACTCTCTGCTGCCCATACCTTGAAATGGGTGGGAGTCAATGCTATGAACCTGAGTACAAAAGGGACTCAAAAGACTCTGTGTGTGGGTGTGGGTGTGTGCGGTTGTATATATAAATGTGTGTATCTATATGCATACACATACCCTTTATATAAAGAGACAGATCTATTTATCTATACATATTTTATATGTGTGTGTTTGTGTGTGTGTGTGTGTATATACACATGCATACACACATGGTGATGTCCCAGAGGATTTACTGAACTTCCCAGAAACACTTCCACTACTATGGAGTGGTGGGTTTCAAAAGATCATGCTTTAAATCTAAAATCTTTACTAAGTCACAGCCCATCACAATTCTAAAAAGATGGACTACTCTAAATCAGACACAAAGTACTTTCCAGAGATTGCCTGTTCAGAACAACAAACATTTGGGTTGTAACAAGCTTAATCTTGAACAGAGCCCTCACATCCCATATGGTTAAAAACTAGAGGTTGCAATGGGATTGGGAAGAGTTGAGTGTTTCTTTATAAAAGTGTGAAGAGAAAGGGTGGAAAGTGATTTGAAATTCTGCCAATTTGGAGAAAAATCTCCTGGAATTCCAGGGTCAAATTGGCTTCAAGTAAGAACTGATAGACAAGGTCCCTGGAAGAGGGATGGTTTGTACTGGAAGATGGTGCAGGGAAATGTGAGGAAATTTGACAATTTGATTTTACATGCCTAGATTGTTTAATTTGTTCATTGGCATTTTGACTACCGGATCTTTTCATTTGCTTTGCAAGGAAGGCTTCAAAGGACTTTGGCCTGGGCCTTGAAAAATATTCTATAAAAGATTCTTAGGCCCCTTTGTGACCAGGATCTGCCCAGGATAAAAAGGCTGTTCCTCCTTGTTGGAGATAATCTTGAGACAACCTTGAATTTCCAGTTTCTCTCCTTGGGCAGCCAAAATACAGGGATGGAAACATGACTTGCAACAAATTAACACTGCAACTTCATTCTGGAACTGGGGCTTCCAGCCTCCTATGTCTCTATCTGGGCTTTCTTACGTCTTGCCCAGGAAGTATCACTTCTACTGGAATACAACTGACTACAATTCTAGCAGTGTTCTCTTTTCTTTGGAAAAACCTCTTGTACATTAGCCCTCAGCAGGTCCTTGGTGATTCCTCTTTTGTTTTCCAGACAACCAGAAGACCATTTGCTAACTATCCACTTACGATGACCATATCATAAGAAATTGAAAACAGTTTCAGACTAATTATAGTCTGGCCCAGTTTAAGAGAACCCAGTTTGCAGGGGGGAGGGCCCTAGAGTACCTTGCCCCTGCTCACATATTTCTTATCCAAAGAGGGATAAGAAAACAAAATGCAAGCAGGAAGAAAGCATATGAGCACCTTCTACTGGAGTTAGCCCCTCTGATTTGATCCCCTTCTTCTCTTGGACCTGAATAATCTTAAAGGTTAGGACTTACATATGCATCAAGGGTAGAAATTTAAATGGCCCAGAGTTCTCTTTCTGTGCCATAGAACTCGAAGCATAACCAGAGTCACTGAATATATATATAATTTATTTATATGGAGTTAAATGGCAAAGTATCTATTTTTTTTTCCTTTTTGAGACAGACTCTCACAGTGCAGTTCATGCTGGCCTTGTGCTCACTTTGTAGCCCAGGCTGGTTTCAAGCTCACAATGATCTTCCTGCCTCAGTCTCCCAAGTGATGGTAAAATACCTTTTCAGTTGCTGTGTCTGTGCACCTTGAATCTGTGTGACACAGTCAGATGACAGTATTGTTAACTCTCACAACATTAAGATTTCTTATTCTGTAGGCATTCAGTGTGAGAGGTAAAATTGCTGCTTTGACAGGGATGATTCTAGTTTGCTACAAGACTTTTTTTTTCCATAATTTTATTGAGAAACAAATAGCAATAAGACAGTTTCAAATCAAATTGGTAGGACAGTTTCAATAATGAACACACTGCATACTGTCTTCCTAGCAGTTATTTGTTGTACAAGATGCAGACATGATATCCTATTTACAAACACTATCACAACCAATCCCTCTATTCATTGAATTAAGAGAATGTAGCTATTTAGCTATCCTAAACATTTGAATACACAGATACAAAATGGTCATTCATCTATATCCCTTTTTTTGTTTAGTTCTGTCATTTAAATATTATAGGTGTGTGAACTCAGCAAAATATTCCAAAATAGTCCGGTGGTCCATAATAGTATTTGGTCTTCCGCTTGACTGGCAATGTCAGAAGTTGTTGACTTGAGTCCCCTACAGCTCAAAATAACAACATAGTTTTACTTCTTGTACTTCGTTTTTATACTTTTCTCCTGGATGGTTAAGTGAATGAAGTCAGGAGATAGGAAAAGGAGTGTTGTGGGACTGTCCTGCTACAATGCGGTATATGGTTAGATTTCTGGACTAATGTGTAAACATATATAATTCTTTATTCCTACTTTTTAAAATATGTTTTAATTTTTAAAATTTTTTCCATCATATTCTGTAGGGACTTAAAGTTTAACATATCAATACTTGATGAAAACTACCTGTTCCATGTTATGCCTAAGATGTTTGATATTCAGACAGACAGTGAGGTTAAGCTTAACAGCCTAGGTTGTATGGTAATAACAATAAGCTTCTCTTCTGGAGGGTTAACAACCTAAATTTGCAGACCAAAATTAGAGAAAAAGGAGGGCCGCAATGAAAGCAAACATTTTGGCCCTAGCCTTCTAAGGTCAATTAAGACTCAGGACGTATGAAAATTTGAACTGTAACATCATGTAACTCAGTAGTGTCCCAAACTTTCTGATCAAGGAGATTATGGGTCAAAGAGGAAAGTGATCGATGATGTAGAGTGTGCCTAAGGAGAGTCACATGGTGAGCAAACATTTTCTCAGGCTTTCACAGAGAACAAATTGGCCAAGCAATCACCATGGCTCATCCACATGGCTGACACTGAAAAAGGATCTACAAACTGAGGTACAGAGTCTCAGGATAAATCCTGAGGGGATTTGACTGACCTTGCCACAAGACTTGCATTTCTCCCTGCCACATATCTCTGCTTTCCCCCAGCCTGGCCAAGGGTAAAACAAGTGGTTGACCTTCAGCCTTGACATTTTTTTCTTTTTGAAACAGGGTCTCACTGTACAGTTCAGGCTGGCCTTGAGCTTATGAGATCCTCCTATCTTAACCTTCTGAGTGTTGCAATTACAGGCATGGGCCACCACATCTGGCTCCAACTTTGATTTTTATTTGGATTCAAATTTTGGGTTTGGAAATTTACAAGAAAGAACCATAATAGGCTATATTCCTAGATTTTAGTGTAGCTGCCAAAATATACAACTTAAAACCAGCCAAACTAAGGTTCATTACTGGGAGTTAAACTTTTTCTGGTTACAGGATTAAATGAGAAAGGTAAGATTTATCCTTGCTATCTTACTCAGAAAGATTGTTGCCCTTCACTTGAGGTTCAATTTCTGTCTGTGATATGGAACAAAGTAATGTTGGATCCCCAGAAATGATTCTTTTAACTTGAAGAGTCACAAAAAAAAGTACATCCAGGTTATGTATAGTCACTGATCCCCAAGGATTTGCAGTTCTTGACTTCTGCTAGTGTGTCTTGGGGTCATCCTCTAATTCCTACTCTTTTCCAATTAGCCCGTCTGGTCTGGACCAGGCCAGAAAAGCTTTTGCTCACTTGCGTTGTTTTCACTCTGAGCCAATAGGACTTTGGGTAGACTGAAGCCCAATAATTGGTACTTGCTTTAGCTAGGGACATTTGAGTTTTGTCTCCATCTTGATTTTCTGACATTGTTGGCCAAGTCACATTAACATTTTTTGATCACTGAGAGAAACAGCCAAACAAGGCATTAGGGAGATTGGTTAAAATAGGGGGTGGGGGGCAGGAATGCTTATGTAGGGTAGAAAGAATATGGGAGTAGCTGTTTGATTATGATGATTCAGTCCTTTGGAACCTTAGAAGGCTCCTGTGGGCATGTCAGCCTCTAAGACCCCCTCCCTTTTGAAATGACAATATAAGTAGACCACAGTTTAAAGTAGTTAGTATAATTCTACTAAGGTTTGATCATTATACTTGTTCACTTCTTGATGCATATTTTCTAAATATGCTTAGGGTTTGGGGTGGGGGGTTAAGTTTTCACTGTTCCATTGTGTCTCACCCTATATTTTTCTCCCTCCCATGGCTTTGGCATCTCTTCTGCCTTTCTCTTTTCATCTCTTTTGGCTTATTTGTGGTAGTCTGCTGGTGCAGGTAGAGAGCTCAATGCACCCATTCCCATTTCTGCTAGTTATCTTCAATATTGTCCAAGTTATTTTGATGTTCTAAGGAGATGACATTTATTTAATAAAATCTTTTCTGAGTTAAAAGCAAAAGAAAGCTTTACCTGTGCTAGGGTGCCCATTTCTAGCTTTTGACATTGCCCCTGTATTTCATAGATGCTCTTTTTGTCTGTGTTGGTAGTAACCAATGACTAGTGAAATTTTCATGTAAATGAAACAAATATTTCATATTTTATTAATCTCTAATTACCCTGCCAAATCTGATGACTTCATTCTAATTATTTCCCAGAAGCCACTTCCCCTCCTACCTTTTATTTTATTCTATCCTATTCTATTCTTAGACTAACACGTTAGGTAAATAAACTTTAACTGCAAAGACTCAGTGATTTTTTAGTGCTCCCTGATAAATGATGTTATTGATAAAAGTAAGAAAAAAATTTTTTCTGTGTTACTGTCTCCTCTCCTGTGTTCTTGACAGTGTGTTTAGTGGATGGGTAATACGTATTTCTCTTTCCCACTCCCAGACTCCAAATTTCCTTCCTTTTGGCCCACCTCACAACAAAAGCTCCATAGTTTATTAACGTAAGTTTGAACGGATGCTTCTTTGTGGAAACTACAACAGTTCATGGAAATGATTCAGAAAGAAATGAGAATGTCTCAGGAGTTGTTCTGTGATGGAATTTGGTCCGTTGTTCTGTTAATGCTGATGGAAAGAAACTTACAACACCTAATAAAAGTTTATTCTTTTAGTAAAAAAAATTGTGCAATAATTTGGGCAGTGTGAAGTTTGATTTCTTCTCCCATCTCTGGATCGCTTTTTGCAAACAGAAGATATACTTGCCTCAATTCAGAAATGGTGCAGAGATTAATACTTTGTAGGATATCAAGAAGAAAGACCCTGAAAAGAATCATTAAAAGAAAAAAAACATGTTGAGCTTACTGGTTAACTTCTTTATTTGGATGTTCTAAAAACACCTTTGACACATTTCCCAAACCAAACTTACCCTTCTGAACTCTGCTGCTGTCTGTGAGTAACTATCTACTCAAATTGCCTAAACCACCATGCACCTACCTAGTGTTTAATTATCCTAGGCTGTGCGTTTCCCTCCTTTCTCAAATTGAGTTGGTGACAAGATCCATTAATTACACTCAGCCAATGTCTCCCTTCCATCCATCTTCTCTTCTTCACCCCTGGTCCTGTAGTGTAGTTTGAGCTCATCATATCTCACCTGGACTGCTGCACTTGCTCCTAGCCAGGCAACTATAAGCAACAATTGTGTCTAAATGTACCTTTTTTTCACTTAAAAGACTGCACTTTTTTTTCCAGATTGAAAGGAATCTGCAGCACCAAAAAAAAAAGTTTTAAGTGTAGCAGAAAATGCCACCCCTCAAGCCAGTATACTTCAGTTGCCTAGGTGACAGTCCTGTTATAGTTCCTGTTTCCTCTGTCTCTTAGAAATAGCTGGTCACTGTGATGGATAGCTGGTCATTATGAGGTCTATTGTAGGAACCAGTCAAAGACAGCCAAAGGACTCTACCTCTATACCTCCCCTTTGCAACCCCATGAAAACTTTCTTCCCTGGGCCTTCTATGCCTGACATTTTGAGGGACAGTTGATTCCCTATCAGTGCATATCTGGTGCTAAATAAATCTGCCTCCAAATCCTGGGTATCTTTTTGGTGTCTCTGTTACAGTAGCAAAGAAGCACTGCTTTAATCTTCATATTTAATCTACTTCCAGAGAATATTCTGGCCAACAGTGCTGAGCAATTTACATGTCCCCTTCATTGTCTAGCCTCTGACCACTTCTGTAAGCCTATTCATTCCTCCCCTACCCACCCCAGTGATAATAAAGCACTCTCATACACGTTAAACTGATAATATCTTCTCATTTGCTTGTATTATTTTGTAAAACAGTGTGTTCCTTTTGTCCCTGATGTAGTCTCAACTTTTCCCAAGATTGAGTTCATGTCTTTTGATTTTTTTCCTGCTCCTCAGCTAGAAGTCCCTATACAAACTCATCCTGTACCAAATATATATAAAAAAACTATACAAACTCATCACAGCCAGCCCCTTTAGCACTCTGACACATCTGTTTCCCTGGATTGAACATGAAAGCCATGGCTGCTCTGGTCTTTGGTGCTTGCTGCACAGCATGTGCTAAGTAAATGTTTGATGCATAAATCAAGGACAGGTGGGCCGGGAAGATAGCTCAGTGACACAAATGCCAGGCAAGCACAAGATCCTAAGTTCAAATCCTG